ATTGGTCTAAAAACCTTTTTTTAAAAACAAAACACACCCGAATATTGCCTAAATTTTAAGTAAATTTTATTAATTAGACTAGCAATTTTCACAATTTTACAATAATTACCATCAATTTTCCTTGTAATTTCCTAGAATCTTTCATTTAAGATACATTTTAGTTTGGTTTGCTTATAAATGGTGGGTCATAAACATGAGGTTTAAACATAGAATTATTCCAAAGTCAAACTCTTTACGAATAATATTAATATAAATCAATTCGTCAATTTAAACATATCTCAATTGGTTAAGACGTATATCGTCGTCGAATGTTTGAATTCTCATCATATGTTGTTAAACTATATATATCTATATGTCTTAACGGTCAACTGAGACATGTTTAAATTGACGAGTTGATTTATATTAATATTGTCCGTAAACTAGGGTTTGGGTTAAGTAACTTTAATTGTAAATATGGTTAGTTGAAAGGGGATCCATTTATGGAATGAAATCTCCTTTAATGATGCAGTTCTACAAACTTTTTTTTTTTTGTTTTTAAATAAGCATAATGGTCAAGTCAATTTATATTTTATTATGTGATAAAATAAAAAATTTATCAATATGACGAAATTCGAATGGTAGAAATCACTAAACAATTTAGAACCATACGATTATAACCGTATCGATCCATATTGAGTAAGATAGTAAATTCGAATAAATATGGAAKGTACATTATAGCAGTTAACCGTAAATATAAAGAAAGTCAAATATCCACTAGCGGTGATTCAAATTTAAATAAATTAATTTCAATAGAGTAAATCGAATTGGATACTGTAAATAAATGAATTATAATAATGTCAATATAGATTGGGTAATAATTCAAAAAATAAAGGAAGATACTTCGCTCTTTAATGGTAAGGACCAAAAATTGTCCTTATACTACTMAAAAATTGACRACTCATTATTTTTTTAATTTYTTATTCGTGCATGTCTCTCTTAGTTGTTAAACTAATGGTGGTCAGGATAAAATTGATCGTTATCATTAAGGAACTGAGTATTTTCAGAAAATAAAATGCTGATAAGTCAAATATTTTGAAGTATACAATAGTTGTTCTAATGTTAAAAGAAAAAGTCACATTTATTTATGGCGGATCTATACACATAGGATAAATTATAGAGAGTATTTACAAGAGAAAAAAAAGTCAATTTCAAAATAATTAGGTTGCTTATTTGGTTTTTAATTTGTTTTGTTGCATATATAATATATATATATAGAAAAAAAACCACCAATATTAATTAGTTCAATTTTTGTTAGTACAATATGTTGGAAAAGAGATTCAAACTCGCAAACTTAGGGTTGGACTTGCTTTAGTTTATTAATTAATTCAATTGACATCATTAAATTTAACTTAGAATTTCATCCAACATTTAAATCTCTCTCCCACTTGTAAATTTTTTAATCAAAATAGATCTACAAATATGCCTTCTAAATAAGTCAAGTGACAATTTTCGATGATTTAAATCCCATTACTAATAGTTTGATAGATAAAAATAAATTTATCTTAAAATTTTCACTTCAACCTTTGAATCTTCGTATCTGGTTGTCTTTGTAAATTTATTTAATTACAATATATCGACAACAAAATTCAATTTTATCTCGAAAGATCATTCCCATTCAACATTCGAATCTTCTTGTCCCACCATCTTTGTGAACTTTTTTATTTTTATTTTTTATAATCACAATATACCTGCAAATGTTTGCTAAAAATAGGTTTTAAACCCCCACTACTAGAAAAATTAAAATTAAAAAGGTTTTCATTCAATGTTCAAAATCTTCCCAACCCACTTATTTTTGTCTAATGAAAAAGAAATTAAAAAAAAAAAACACCAATAAATTAAATATTGCTAAAAAAAAGAAATGGGTGTGAAAGCATCTTGGATAGGCATAAATATATAATATCTCAGGGGACACAAAGTTTGCTTAATGTATTGAAGATGCAAAGTAGGAATAGAAACCTTTCAATTAATTAATCTATCAAAAGCTTAAGTCTCTCCACATTTATTTTTCTCTCTACCTTTAAGTTGTTCTTTCAAGATAAAAAGAATAACCATATGCTTAATCTAACATTAACATTTAATATTTATTCAATTTGGTGGTGGTAGATTTTGAGTAAAAATATATTTACTTCAATATTCATAGGGTTTTTTTTTTCTTTTGAATTTTTTAATATATATGTTACTTTTGAATTCAAAGTCTTTTTTTTCTCCTTCTTAATTACCATTCTTTCAATTCAAAAGTCATGGAATTTTTATCATATGATTTTAGTAATCCAAATGTTAATATCATACATTCTTTAAAAATGTATATGATGATGTCACCTATTACTATACTTGATATTGATGGATCTTCCTTTTACATGGAATATTTAGTTTTGGAATTGTAAAAAAATCTCTGGAAAGATATACATATTTGTATTCTTGTATTGTCATTTTGAAATCTCTAGCCAAACAAGTTTTCAACATTAGAAAAAACTATTTTTATATGCGATTAATTAGTTTAATTTTCCAAATATAATTAAGGGAAGATTTTCTTTAACTCACTAAAACATTAGTCATTTTCTTTATTGGTTTAAAATGTAGCGCTTCCAGACGAAGGATTCAGACCAGAATTTGGAATTCGGATTGGCCTTAATTGCCTTAACATTGGCTTCACTACACGAGTCATTTCAATATGCTTTATTAGGTCACCTGATCCAAAATTGTTTCAAGCAAAATACACTTAATTTTGGAGTTTTTATGATTGAACAAYCGAAAAGAAATGTGTACTTTATTAGTTTAGGTAGTAACTATCAATTTTTTTAAATATTTTTTAAGCATGCTTCCGTGTTCATAAGATACCTCTTCTGACGTTGGTGAATATGTCCAGATCTTAATTTGACGAAAATATCAATGAAAATTTAATAATTTTTTGGGAGAGGGGTTGGTGTTGGAAATTTTCCAATAAAACAGAACATGTGCTGACGTGTAGGGAGGAGGACCACCCAACTGCTGGCAGATCATCTGGGATTGTGGAAAAGAAAAAAAGAAAGAAAAAAGAAAAAATAATTGGTCAAAGAGATTAAAAATAAAAAACCAATTATCCCCACGTTTACACGTGGGACCCATGTAAAGTGGAGTGGCATATTCAGCAATTATGACCACACATCAAGGTCAAACTTATAATTATAAGCATCTGACAACAAGGGAAAAAATTAAAAACCCAAAAAACAAAAACATAAATAGAATATAAAATTTAAATTTAAGAAAAAGAAAAAGAAAAGAAAAAAGGAAAAAACCTTAAAAATTTTCCTGCCGGGTTAACATGAGCCAACGTTGTTGCCTGCTTCGAAGCAGACAACGAAAGCGAACGTCAACTAACGGTGACGACCATGTCTGGTCTACACTCACTTAACGCCTTTCGTTAACTTTGACGACACGCATCTCTATGCCTCTTCCGTACTCTCCACATTTTATTTTAATTATTTTTTTTCTTCTCGCCGGCCGTTATCACACGGCAGCGCTCGGCGTAAAGTACTTCCTTTTGGCCCCCCACCATCTCTCTCTGCCTCTAGTTTTCTTTACCTCTTACTTGGGTTAAATTCTAACCACGGTTCTACTCTTTTCCAACGTGGAATTGACATAGCTTAGTAGTAAAAATATCTATTTCATTTTTTGTGATCTTAAACATTTCTATATCGATTTAACTAGCTTTCTTTTACAATCTCTCACAATTGAAAAAGAAAATATTAATCACGTCCTTACATTTTGAATTTTACTCTTAATTAGTATATTCGTCGTTAAGAGATTATTGACATAGTATGTCTAGGAGTTGACACAATGTGATAGATAATATTATACAAATTAATGAGCATATTGCATCAAATGTATTGATAGTTCTAATGACAAAGAGATGAAATAAAAATATAAACACAAGTTTGAATAGATATATTTTTTTTTCAAATTTAAAGACTAAAAAGATATAATACTCGAAGCAACTATAAACTATTAAATTTTCACTAAATTTCAATGCTGGGCTGGAGATTTGAAACTTCAACATCAACGCCAAAAATATAAGTGCAACATTTTGGTTACAGATTAGTATTTACTCAATTTCATTTGGATAAGGAATATTTGACAGTAGAATGAGTCCAAATTTATATGGTACATGTTTAAAGGGTAAAAAACAAACAAGTTACCAAGAATTGAGTTTAGGTTTTATCCAAATATGAAAATTACCGATTGAATTTAAGTAGTTTATGTTTTTTTTAGATATTAAATAGTCTATGTTTGGTGGGTTTTAGCCTTTAATTTGTAAAAATGTATAAAACAAAACGTGGGTTTTGGATATCTAAGTTTGTGTAACCTACAAGATTTTAGTTTCAAGGTATCAACCTGAAACATTATATTATCAACCACATACTTTTAATACCAAATACGAGTTTGACACGAGTTTATGTTATATGATATAAATTTGTTCTCTTTTAGTTTAATAGTGGTGGGATGGATGTTCGAACTTCTAACTTGAAAATCGAAGGTAGTTGATGTCTTTATCCATCAAAATATATTTGCACTGATTAAACTTGTCTATTAAAGACTTATCATAAACATTATTTTAACTTACGTTGTGTCCAATTCGATTATTTTCACTACAAAAAAAAAGGAGATTATCATGGATAGCCAATTTCAACTCGGACCAAATATTAAGACATTAGTAATCCTCTAGACGAGTTAAGATTAGAATCATCGTCTGATGCATCATAACTCTTCACTCCCACATTTATATGGTATATTCGAGCTTAAAAGCTCTTGAATTTTCATATTATAAGCTCTTGAATTTTCATATTATAAGAAGTTTCAGATTGGGGAGTGGATTTATAGTCATTCCCATGAAAAACCCAAAAAAGAAAAGAGCTTCAAGATTAAACAAAAACATAGCTTGCTTGATACATGTTTATTCTTGACATAACAAAAATCATGGATTGAACGGAGGTTCATTAGAAAATAAAAAGAAAACGAAAAAGACAAGGAGAGAGAGGGAGAGAGAGGGAGAGAGAGAGGGAGGCAGCTGAAGCAATAAGGCACCCGTATAATAGGAAGCGGGGAAGGTTTTTTTGGCATTCTCTGTAACGGCGTTTTTCCCGGATTCCAAAGAGAAAAAACCAGAGAGAGAGAAGAAGAAGGCGAGAGGAGGAGCAAAAGAAGCAAAAGCGGTTTTTGGAGCTCAGAAAAACGGTTCTGTAACGGCAGCCAAAGGGGTAGTGGAGCTGCACAAGAGCGTTACACAACAAGAGAGAGAGAGATTTCTTCTTCTTCTTATTCTGCTTTGTGGTGGAAAAAATCCCAAAAATCAGAGACCCTCAAAATCGCCATTAACACACTTAATTTTGTTCTTCCTAATCAGAGAGTTGGGGGGGTGGGTTTGTGCCTATTTTGCTGTTGAAACAGGGCTGAATACTGCTTTGCCTGTTGACTTCTGAGGAGAAAGAAGAAGAAGAAGAAGAACCCTTCAATAATGGCTAATCGGGGAGGAGGGGGCTCATTTTCACCTTCAAATGTTTCCTCTCAAGGTAACTCCAATTGGGTCGTTTCGTTTTCTTCTCTTCTTCCACCATCGTCCGATTCTGGGTCAAATTTCTAACCCCTTTTGTTTTCTTCTCTGGAAATGGTGTTTTCTCTTAAGGCTGGGGAGGAGATGAACTTTACACAGAGCTTTGGAAGGCCTCCGCTGGCCCTCTTGTGGAAGTCCCTCGCGTCCGCGAGAAGGTTTTCTACTTCCCTCAAGGCCATATGGAACAGGTAAGTTCATCCCAGAATCATTCCGCTACAGATCGAGCTCTGCTGCTGCTGTTTTTTATTTTCTGTTTGTTTCCCTAGAAAACTGTGTTTTCTGTTCTATTTCTTCTGTGTGGCTTGACTTTTTGATGATTTTGATTATAGGGTTGCTATTGTTTTTTGTCCCTCTTTTGAGTTTGGTTGAAATTTTGGTTTGTATAGTTGGAGGCATCTACAAATCAGGAGCTGAATCAGAAACTTCCTTCGTTTAATCTCCCCTCCAAAATTCTTTGTCAAGTAGTTGATGTTCGGCTGCTGGTACTTTCTCTCTTCCTAATCCTTTGTTTGGACTCTGAAAAAAAGGGGGTTTAGAAAATAAGAGCCTCTGATTTTCTCAGGAACCAAACAGGATGATGAAGCTCTACTGGTTTGGACTTTTGACCTTTATATAACATTAACACCCACTTTTGCTTCACCTTGTCTTGAAATTTTAGGCAGAGCACGAATCGGATGAGGTTTATGCACAAATAACTTTAATGCCAGAGCCAAATGTAAGAACTCTTTATAAAGTTGTTTGTGTCTATTCTTTAATATTTACTGTGTTTCTTTTACTAAATCCCGGTCGCTGTTCAGTTAGATGAACCTATAAGTCCTGATCCTTCCATCCCGGAATGTTCGAGACCGAAAGTCCATTCGTTTTGCAAGGTTTTAACTGCTTCTGATACCAGCACCCATGGCGGGTTCTCTGTGCTTCGTAAACATGCAACAGAATGCTTGCCTCCATTGGTAATTCTGCTTTCTGACTTATCTTTTCATTGATCTCTTGTTCCATCCCTTGGATATCGTTACGTTTTTCTTATCCTCTTGTGTGGATTTTCTTTAGGATATGACCCAACAGACCCCGACTCAGGAACTCGTCGCGAAAGATCTTCACGGTTACGAGTGGCGATTCAAGCATATTTTTAGGGGTGATATGCTGCCTCCCTCCTGTTTACAATGTTTAGGAACACTATAATATTATATAGGCAATTTCAGTTCAATTTGTGTGCAAAATTTTCTTTATAACGGTAAATTTTGCTCCAACGAATGAACAGGTCAGCCTCGAAGGCATTTGCTAACGACCGGATGGAGCACCTTTGTTACTTCTAAGAGATTAGTTGCTGGAGATTCTTTTGTATTCTTGAGGTATCTTAATTTTCATTCTATCTTGTGCTTGTTGGTGGGGAGGTTAGATGTCTTCTGTTAACTCCGTATGAAACAATTTGATTTCGTAGGGGGGAAAACGGGGAGTTGCGAGTTGGAGTGAGACGTCTTGCTCGCCAACAAAGCAGCATGCCTTCGTCGGTGATCTCGAGTCACAGCATGCACCTAGGAGTGCTTGCTACTGCATCTCATGCCGTGTCAACTCAAACTCGCTTTGTTGTCTATTATAAGCCCAGGTGATATAATTTATTCTTGTTCTATGTACTTGAATGATGTAGTTCCTACGACGCTATTCAATCGGGTTTCTCATGTTATCCATGTATGTCTTTTTGGTGGCTGTTTATGCCAGGGCGAGCCAGTTTATCGTTAGCTTGAATAAGTACATAGAAGCGATGAACAATAAGTTCTTAGTCGGGATGAGGTTCAAGATGAAGTTCRAGGGAGAGGAGTCTCCAGAGAGAAGGTAGTAGGAAAAGAAAACATGCTGCAGTGCCTTTTCTCCCTCTTCTTTTATGAGCTTTCTCACTTACTCTTGTTTTACTTGTTCTATAATTAACAAGGTTTTCGGGCACCATAATTGGAGTTGATGATATGTCGCCTCACTGGCCCGAATCAAAATGGCGGTCATTGAAAGTAAAGTCTTCTCTGGAATACCGAGTCTTCTTGCTGCCTTCTTCCTGTTATAAATTCTTTCTGATTGTATTTTCCTTTCCTTTCCAGGTTCAATGGGATGAACTTGCATCTATTCTGCGACCTGATAGGGTCTCACCTTGGGAGATAGAACCTTTCGTGGCTCCTACATCCCCGAACATGGTGCAATCGGTTCCAATCAAGAATAAAAGGCCCCGGCCCCCACTTGAAATTCCAGGTATTGCTGAAACTTTCAACTATTATATCTGTTTGGGTTCGGGCGAAGTCAGAATAAGTTATCGGATGATCATGATTGTTCTTTTGTCTTTCGTCTCTCTTACATGATATAGATTCTGATAACTCGACCGTAACGACTCTACGACATCCTGGATCAACTCAAGCACATGATGATAGAACACAGCTGACTGCTGCTGCTACTGACATTAAAAGATTTGAAAATCATGTGACATGGCATTACAAGCAAACGGATGTCAGCAGCAACGGTAATTCCATATCGAGGACTCCAAATGAAGGATCTTGGTTAACTTCCCCAAATGCAAGTGTTTCTCAGCATCGGTTACAGGATTTTACAGAGGACCGCAAAAGCAATTCTGTTTGGTCAGCTGTTTTCCCAGGAGCACCAACAGGACACTCAGGATGTGCAACTCCACGCTCGCCAAATCCTAAGAATGACCAAATACACGACCTCGGGGGAAAGGGGAGGAAAACTGAGGTGGCTTCGAGCTGTAGATTGTTCGGGATTGAGCTCATTAATCATTCTAAGAGCTCAGTTCCATCTGAAAGGGCAGCTGATCAACCGATTACCGCAGCGAACGAGATCACTGAAAGCCATGCCAATACAAGCCATGTCAATACCTTGCTATCATCTAATGCAGAGCAGAACTCAGACCTTCCAAAGGCTTCTAAAGAAAGAAAACTAGGACTTTTACAAGCACCTCCCAAAGAGATCCAGCACAAGCAGAACAGTTCGACCAACAGCCGAAGCCGAACCAAGGTGAGACTACAAAAGATCTCATACAGCTTACTCATGTTTAGAAATTGGTAGGTCTAAGCTAATTATTGACTTGTTTTTTTCTTTTTGTTGGTTGTCGATATACCAAAGGTTCAAATGCAGGGGATGGCTGTAGGACGTGCGGTGGACCTTACAACGTTGGAAGGGTATGGGCAACTCATCGATGAATTGGAGAAGATGTTCGATATCAAGGGAGAACTTCGCCCTCGTGATAAGTGGGAGATTGTCTTCACTGACGATGAAGGCGATACAATGCTCATGGGCGATTACCCGTGGCAGTAAGTTGTACACTTAAAAACCAGTAACCTCATTGTTCGATTCGATTCCAGGCATAATGTTCCCTATGGTTTCATCATCTGCAGGGAGTTCTGTAACATGGTGAGAAGAATATACATATGGTCAAGTCAGGATGTGAAGATGAGTTCAGGTAGCAAACTTACGATGTCGGCAATGGAAGGTGACGGGACGGTAATAACCTCGGAGTCGGCCGACAGTTGAAGCCCGAAGTACGTTACTTTCTCATAAAAGTTCAATATCTTTTGGGTTCGGGGACTGGATGGGTGAGAGTTATTCATGTCTTCTTGTTTGTCTATGAAAAAAACTGGTTTCAAATTCGATCAAAAGTAAGAAAAAGGAAAAAAAAAAAAAAAGATCAGAGAGATACATCAGAAGATAATCTTTGGCTCATTTTCAAAATGCTTTTGGAGGAGAGCTGAAGATTAAAATTTGAAAAAAAAAAAGGAACTTTGTTGAAATTAATGATGAGTGGGTTGGGAATTGTGGAGGTTATGGAGTGAGTAGCCTTTGCTTCTATTCTTGTACATAAACCCATTTTGTCAAATGTACAACTTTATCTTTTAGACTCTACTCTTTGAGATCTGTTACTGAAATTTAAGTAGGAGTGTAAGCGGGTTGGTTCACGTCAAATTTTAACTAAAATCGACTCCTAATTGATCATGACACTATGGTTTCGTACCAAGTTCCTCAATCTAGTGACCCATAAGATCGAAATGACCAATCAATTACAAAAAATACCAAATCGACCCACGCGAACTAAACTGAACCAAATGAATCCTCCTAACTTATCATATACGGTTGTTTGTCGACGTTTTATTGACGCCGTTTTGAGTAGAACGCCTCTTTTTATGATCGATATCAAATATAGTTTGACTTGAAAATAGAATGATATGATGGGAAACATAATATTTTGACAATTAATGTACAACTCATATGAGAGAATAGTGCATAGAATGATGACAATGGAAAAAGAAAAAGAAAAGAAAAGGGATGGGTGGAGAATCATCAATGATTTCTTGCATAAGTATAATGAACTCATTGCTTTGAAGTTGATCTTGTCCACTAATACATTCTAAAGTGCTCCAACAAATCAATTGCCAATGGGGAATCAAAGATATGTTTATGTTTGCTTTATCATAAATTATCCAAACAAAACCTTCAAATCTGTGGATGGCTCTCACTTTTTATGTATAATTTCTTTTTCTTTTTCTTAGTTGGGTTGTTAATAAACATCCAAAATTATTGATGAATGATAATGTGACATTGGAACACATCTGATTAATAGAATTAGAATTTTTTTTTATTTGCATTAATTTAATTTGACAAATGATCCTATGTATAATAGAAAATTTTGCCCACTTCACGTGTTGACCTATGCTAACTTAAAATGGTGAGAGTAAGCTACCGAGCCAATCTTAGAGAATGTACTTGATATTTTATCCATTAAAAATCAAAGAAGTCACTCAATGGATAGTCTAGGCCATCGGGACAAAATTTCTAATGATATGAACTTTTCAATAGATGTCAAAAGTAAAGTTAGGAAGACTTTTAAATCTAAAGCGAAAAATATGATATCATTGTCAAAGTTGGTAGTCCTAACAAATAACTTTTCAATCCAAAAATAGTCTTAAAAAACAAATCTATAGTTTCTCTCGGTTATCCATAGGGATGCTCACGAGATAAGGTGGGGATAGGGAAGCCTCCCACGTCCCCATCCCCACAAAACTCCCCACGAAATTTCATGAGGATCGGAGCGGAGATTTTCCCACGGGGAATTCGCGGGGATCTGGTTCCCCACGAGATTTATTTTTTTAATTGTTACAACTATTTCTCAATTAAATATTAAAAAAATTATTATTAATTGTTTAGTTTCCCACGATAAAACTTCGTTTGAGTATATATATAAATATATATTTTTAAAAAATTGTGGTGGGGCGGGAAACGGGGACAGGGATTGCATTTCTCATCTCCGTCCCCGTTTTGATAACGGAAAAAAAGTACCACATCCGTGTCTCGTAGGAAATCTAAATGAGGATTTCCACCCTGTTTAGGGCGGATCCTTACAGGCTCTATCCCAAAAAGAAAATGAACATCCCTAATTACAGACGAGAGGAAGAGATGCTATGGAAGAGTGGCGAGGATGAATTGTCACATGAGAGAGAGTAGGGAATAATGGGCATAGTTTGTCTCACCACTCACCCAATATAATAGAAAAGTACAACCATAAAGGAAGGGTATTATCAAGAGAATATTCATATGAAACTAATTTTCAAATCACAATGTCCAATCCACTTTGTTGATTTTTCATTAGTCTATTTCCTCATATTCTGGAAATTAAGAGTTTTACCAGATTGCATTTCTATAACCAGCGTTTGTTTAATTCATTTAGAAGATCCGAGTGCTAATTTAATTTTTATATTTCAATATTTTTCAATTATACTATTTTCATTGGTGAATGTTAAACTTGATTAATAAAAAGTCAATAGCATAGCATACTCTTCAATAAGTCGATAAAAATTTAGAATATAAATTAGATCATTGATAAGGAAAATATAAAATTTTGTCGAACTAAAAACTATCATGTATTATATAGTTTTACGATCAATTAACCAAGTTTTGCGATCAATTAACCAACTTTAATAATTAATTGTTAAAGCGAGTATAATTCAACGGTAATTAGATTGTGAGTTYGATCCCCGATCTCCAAGGGCTAAAACATAAATTCAAAATTAGTSAATTCTTTATGGACGTCCTTCCSAGTTAAATTAATCTCACAACAAAATTTGTAATAGTTGATTTCCTATTCTACATGTAATTAATGTGGAAATTTATAATATTAATAGTTGATTAAATTAATGTTCGCCTCTTTATTCTAATTAAATCATAATATTAATTTAACAATTGAAAATTAAAAGAAAAAGAATTTGTGAAAAAAAAATGAAATTACTTTTAATGAAATATTCACTTCAATCTAATTTTAATAAAAGCAAAAAACTTCGAGTACTAATTGAATTTTGAAAGATGGTTTAAACTTTTTTCAAAATTATTTATTTTTTAAATATTATTTTGAAAGCTTAACCAAATTATTAAATAAATAAAAATTTTCAAATAATGTAGATAACACGACAAAAGAAATAAATAAGTATGGTTTTAAAGGAAAAAAATAATTAAAAAAATTGTGTTGAGTAACTATTATTATTATTTTTTTTTATGAAAGATATAAGCAGAAACATATTTGTTATCTTTTTTTTCATTCTCCAAAATTTTAAAGAAAATTAATTTTTAAAAGTAAGTATTCACAATTTTTTACTTAAAGTTGTTTCGAAATATTTATTAGGTATTTTATAAGTAAAATAAGATTTATTTATGTTTAAAAAAAATAAAACAAAAACAAGAAACTTTGTTTTCAAAATTTCCATACAATTTTAAAAACGTTTTTGGAAAATGAAAAATAAGAAATTAAAAAAATAGTTACAAAACACATATGTTTCTCGAAAATTTGAAATGAAAAACAAGAATCAAGAAAGAATGTTACCAACAAATCTTAAATTAYTAAAATTGAACTGAGTATTTAATTGGTACATCTTTTAACGATCATCTATTACAAAATACAAATATATAAAGGAAGATATATTCAATTCAATTGTTGAATCCAAAACAGGAGATACATAATATTTTACCAACTAGAACTATGGATTGCTACTATTTTTTTTTTTTTTGAAAACATTAATGGTTGAATTTATTGCGTTTGACCTAAGAAAATGTATGAGAATATGAAAATGAAGGTAGTGGATGTTGTTGAGAAAGGAGAAGATCATTTGACTTTTAAGTAAATGGGTAGTAAATCTTTTACGCATTTTCGTTTTTTAAGTGGTACGAGTGGGGATGAGAGATTTAAACTTTGAGTGATTKTATCGATTGAGTCTAAGTAAATATATGATCTCGAGTAATTGGGCATGAAAATTTTGTGATTTGAGACTGACTTTTGTTAGAGAGCACTAATGATAGTGACATTGAATTTGTAATTATTTTATCTCATAGATAAGTATTAAAATATTTTGTTATTACTATGTATGTAGAGATCTAAATGCACCCATTATTCTTACTCTCGTTTGCAATATGTACTCGAATGTCCCGTAGACGTATTATAGAGCTCTATGTTATATTGTATCCAAAACTCAAAAACAATTTAGGTTACGTTCAATTCCCTCAACGTTTCAAAAGATGAAGCACTTGTTGCACATAAATCGCATCGATATGGGTAGGCCTTCTGGCCTAGATTACTTTCGAACATTATTATTATTATTATTATTTTTGGTTGAGCGAGCCTTCTTTGATTGCCCCTTATCTTTAGATTCCTTTTAACGTTATGAAGTTAGCCCAAATTATATGGTGAACAACCCATTCAATCTCAAGAAATTATGGATCTCGCCCATCATGTTACGGGTTGTAATTATGAGAATGACATTAAACGGGTCCAAAGTATGATCAATCGCCTACCGTTGAACTTAAATATTATCTTCTTAAGACATGATAATATAGAACCGAGTCTTATAACACTATTATAATAAAGTAACATATGTGGATTATTTTTGTATAAATCTCAAATAGTGGGAATTAGATATGGATCATTGGTAGAGGGATTTAATACGAGCCATCCCTTGCAATGCGACGGATGGAATAGCATATTCTGCCATCCAAACAGGGCGGCTTTCTATGGCGGTGCTTTGAATTAAAATAAGAGATGGGCCGTGGGCTCGCTAGGTTGGTTTCTCCTAGACCAGCCCAATTACGCTTGGCCCAATGTCAATGGGCCTTTGTTGTGCTCACTATGCATTTTAGGCTATTTGATCACTTCCAATCACAGTTTATGACTTCCTTCCACATCTGTCTCTCACCTATGGCATCTCAATTTTCCCAAGGGCAGTTTCGTAAACTTGTCCTTCCATGCCCTCAACTTTTTTTTTTGCTGCAAAGATAAATATATTAAACAAACAAAACGTAGAATGTCACAGTCCGAGATCAAAGCACAACACCCAATGGATAGATACAAAAAAAGAAAACAAATCCCAGACTTAAATAAATAGGATCAAAGTGCTAGCAGCAACTCCGAGATCAAGTAGTACAACGAAAATAGAGTTCAACTTTTTTTTTTGTGAGTTCAAATTTCTAGTACCAAAACAACCAAAATTAAGAATTGTGAGTGACATTTGTCTCCTAAATTAGATTCGTGTAATTTTATTTCATTTTTTATTTGCTCTACCACTTTTAGTTCGATACATTTATTATATTTTATTTATATCTTCTTATTAAATTCTATAGTAATAATGATCTACTGTTTTTAGTTTATCTTATGTTTTCTTCCTAGCATCATCTCTTATTTATTTCTCTAAATTAAACAATATCAAATTGTTTATGATTAATATTTTTTAGTTCAGTATAATGYACCGGTTAAAATTTGAACCTTTAAATTTTTTTTATGAATGTTAAGCTATATGCTCATTCTGACGTCACTGATTATTTTAAACTTGTAATATAATCTTTACTTTTTTGCTTGAGCTATAAAAATATTTTAAAAACAACCTGAAATCTCTCAACTTCCAATTGCTAGCCTATGATACATCACATCAAGGAGACCACTCTCCAAATTTCCCAAATAAATCTTCTAACCATCCATTGGTTCATCTCAAATGATCTTTCAATTAATATTGATAACTAAATTCCACCAAAGTCTATTGATAAGTGGCAATCAAACTTCATGGTTTCTTTTCTATCCTTTTGAAATTTCCACTCATCTTTTAAACGAAAAGTCTTCCTCAAAAGGAAATAGTATTATTATACATATGACACATATTAACGATGATTATTGAGGTTAGATTTTACCACATAAATTGTTGATGTAGAAATTTGACTTCTATGAATCCCGCCAAATTCGCATCAATCTTCTAGAATAAAAAGGATCGACAAGATCTATAAAACAGAAATGTACTAAAGACAGGTGTGGTTCTTACTACACATACTCTGATACTTAAGTCAGAATTGTAGTCGAGTATGGAGARTARGGTGTTTTGACGTAGCAAATAGTAGGGGCTTGTAGCGTAGCTTATGAGTATTTTCCTTCTATTTATTGAGGGAAAAACCTAGTATCACTAAGATATTTTATCTGAATCTATGGAGAATCTTGAGGCCATCAAAATGTCTTTAAGATATCTTCTCGTGGCCATGAGTATATTTTCTCATTTTGAATTCAAGAGAATTTGAATGGTAGAAAATATGAATTTTATCATCCATAACAGAAATTATATCAAATAAAATTGATCATGATAGATTTTTTCCAACGCTTAAAACCGTCGAACAAATTTTGCATCGAGCAAAAAATTAGGGAAAATACGTCAGATAAGGGTCTTCCCAACGATACAAAGCTCTCCTCCCAACATTATGAAGACCATGGAGCAAAGCTCTCCTCTTGATGATGTGTGACGTTCCCCTTAATCATTCTTGCTTCTCAATCGACATGGGAGTACTATCTCTTTTTTTTTAATGTATGAATAAAAAAAATGGTAAAAAAATTGAAAAATGTTAGGATGACATCAGAGTAGGAAATACCATTCCTTATCCCCATCCATAAAATCAAATTGCAAAAGAGAAAAAATCTCCTTTTTAACCTATCCTCGATTAAATAAAGGGAATCTCTCTATTTTATCTGGGGTAGATCTCYAGAAAAAAAAATGTCCATTTTCACAATAATGTTTTTCGAAAATAATTATTGAGATGTCAATGATAAAAGATTAAGACACCAAGACAAAAGCCATGAACTAAAAACATTACTTGTCCCTTTCTTACAATTTACAAGTATAGCCACATACTAAAAGTAGCCACAAAATAGACATTGTAAAATGACCATAAAGCCTAACTTTTCTCAAATAATTACTAAAAAAATTATTACTTAGCTTTAGAATTCTAACCAACCTTGATTCTTACGCATGTAAACATCCTCCACGTCTTATTTTCGATCATTGTTAGGATAATGAGTCTCTTCAAAAATTAAAATTTTCCATTTTTAAATTATGTCCAYGTGACTTTACTTATTTTGAAAAAAAATTATAACAATGGAGATATTCTCCTTACATGTATATATTATGAATTTCTTGAATTTTGAGTTGAGGTGGGATTATATTTACATTTTCAATAATTAAAGTCAAATACTTACAAAATATAGGCAAAAGTGAGTAATTAATTATTGGAGTGAAATTATAATAGGAATGTTAAATATATACCTTATGTTCAACCATTGAACGAATGACATATGGTGGATAGATYAAACATTTTATGGATGGTATGATAAATAATATATAATGAATCTACCAACATTAAGGGAAAAAAGGCTTTTAGATATATTATAAGACAATTTCAAAATAAATTTAAAAAAAAAACAATGGTTAAAAAATAATTTTCAAATTCAATTAAAAATTTATTGCAATRTTATATTAAAATACTTAATAATTATGAGAAGTCATTTCAAATATTAAATTGCAATAAACTGCCATTGAATTCAGAAGGACAAATTTGGAGAGGTTGCTTAACTCATAACATGGTAAAATTGCTCAACTCATACATGGTAAAATTATGCCGTAGTAACCAATCCATACAAAATGACAGACCAAAAATGACAGATCAAGAATGAACGACCAAAAAAATTTTCTGACAAGCCTTTGGGCTGACCCGTCCACGAGCCAGTTTGGTCGGTCCATGACCATTGCCCATGGTAGGCTGGCAAGGTCGAGATTCGAATAAAAGTGTGGCTCCAATACGCCTTTGAGTTGGGAAATTCCTTAGGTCATATATCATCTAAAAAATGGTTAAATTTTGAATTCCCTTAATCTAGGGAATTCAAATGGAGAAAATATACCATTCACACTAAATTTTCTATTCTATAAATAAATGATAAAGACTCATAATCAACGTAGGTTAGAAAATGCTACCTCGTCTTTTATGCTTAACATATAAATTTGGTTCTGACTTAAATATGTGTGGCTAGCACCACAATGGTGTCTAATTTTTCTATTTGGCAGATTTTATCGAATTTCTTTTATTCTAAAAGAATGGTAAAAATTTCATAATTCATATAGGTTAAATTTATGTTTCGTTCGGATCAAAACTTGTGACTTTAGATTTCATATACATTTACAATTTTATAGGTGGTATGACTAATTCTTCCTTTTTTTTTTCTTTTTTAAACGGGAATCTCAAACTCATGATTATTATATTATCTCCGATGAAAAAAAATCTACTATTTATATGTAAGAAAAATTTTAAAATTTTACCCCTATTTGGTATATCAATTTTAATTTAACTCTAAATTTTTTATTTTTTCAAGACGGTTCTTAAACTTTGGCAAGTATTACAATCTCACTTAAAAAGATTCAATTTCTAAGATAGACATTTATTTGATTCTAAAAAAAGATAGACATTTATTTGAATAATTGTTCAATAATAAATATTATCACGTGTTTAATGAAGTATGGAATATGTTTAACACTAAAAGTTGGATTTTTTTTTTTTGAAAGTGGTGTGTTTTGAACGAGATTTTTACCTTTCTTTTTTCTAAAATTAATAAGTAAATTTAGTTGAATATGTATTTATAGAAACAACGAAAAATAAATATTTATTTTCAAATACAATAAATTCAAATCAAAGGTTAAACATAACGGTAGAACAAAAAAAATATATTTATGAGGATTTTTTAAATTTTATATTAAATTTATAAAATGGTGAATTTATCATTTATTATTATTTTTTTATATGTAATAATTTCCTATAAAGTTGGGACTTCAAACTTCACATCATCTCCATACCTCTGCCGTAAAGAAAGGGAAAAAAAATCATGGAGGAATACAGAGCGCGCACCGCCGCCGCCAGGCCCTTGCCTCTTCATACCGAGCACCAATCTCGACGCGCCACCGCCTTCAACCGCCTCTTCGCGGCGGTTTACGGCGGCGGAATTTTGGGTCTGTTTTATTACCACTTAGCTTCACTTCTAAAACCCGCGTCTTTGGGTTCCTTCTTCGTCTCTATTTCTCTGTTCTTCTCCGACGTCGTTTTGGCCTTCATGTGGGTCACCACTCAGTCCTATCGGATAAATTCTCTCCGCCGCCGGGAGTTTCCCGAAAACCTGAAAGCGTTGGTGAAAGATTCGGATTTTCCGGCGATGGATGTGTTCATTTGCACGGCGGATCCGTACAAGGAGCCGCCGATGAGCGTCGTCAACACGGCGCTGTCGGTCATGGCCTACGACTACCCCGCCGGGAAGATCTCCGTCTACGTCTCCGACGACGGCGGCTCCGCCGTGACGCTCTTCGCTCTGATGGAAGCGGCGAGGTTCGCCGGCGAGTGGCTGCCGTTTTGCAGGAAAAACGACGTCGTAGAGAGGAATCCTGATGCCTTCTTTGCGTCGAACCAGTATTGGAACTCTGAGTCGGAGAAGATGAAGGTATTATTTTAAATTGATTTTAGTTTTTATCTTTTTAACAAAATAGTTGGAAATTTATTTTAAGAAAAAAAAACAAATTTAATCAACCAATCCTCTAATGTAATAATATGAAAACTAGAAAATTATTACAATTTGGCTTATAAAAGATTATAATATTAAGCATTTAAATTTTGGCTTTCAAATAATTAAGTTGGCATCTCGATTTAAGAAAAATGAAAAATTAATGTAAAACACTAGATTTATTGTTTGAGTTTTATTATATGATAAGGGTTTGCCAAGTATATAGATTATGTAGATTATGTGATTCGGAATATACACATCTTAATGTGTTAATTATGTGTATTTATTAGAGTCACATCAGCTAGTTAAAATGAAATAGAACCATTCGATTTTAGGAGACCAAAGGAACATTAAAATAATTATTTTCTCAATAATTTAGGTTCTAAAATAAACCTTCAAAATTAAGTACTTTAAAATGAAATAGAACCATTCGATTTTAGGAGACCAAAGGAACATTAAAATAATTATTTTCTCAATAATTTAGGTTCTAAAATAAACCTTCAAAATTAAGTACTAAAATACTCTATTTGATAAGCATTTAAATTTTCTTTTTAAATTAGGTGTAAAAACATCATTTTCACTCTTATTATATAGTTTTTCAAAATATTTTCAAATTTTGGTTAAATTTGGAAAATTAAAGAAATAATTACCGAACGACGACCTTAATATTTTTAATATTTTAGAACAATATTATACTTTAAAAATTTAAGAACCAAAATAAAATACACAAAAAATGAAATTTAAACCGACTGTAGCAACCGACAAGTCCTGATAGACATTAAATTGGTGGTTTTGAGTAGCAGACAAAAAAATAAATAAATAAATAAAATAAATTCCCTCGTAGTTGCATCTGGACAGAATAATTCCCTTCACGACAGTCAAAAAATTTTACTCAGAAATCAGAACTTCCATGTCAAGATTTTCCATTCAGTTAAAATTAATTTTAAATGGAGGAATGACTTTTTAAACTTTAATAAAAATAAAATACAAATTTTATCTACGATCCGATTTACTTTCAGGGCATGAAAATCAATACTTTTAATCCCTTGGATGGCTTTTTACTCGAGAATGAGATTTTATCCGTGAGGCTTATTTAAACTTTCCAATCGCTTTCACTAAAAATGTATAATCTCATCTTTCTCGAACAATTTTATTCTTATTTCCTATTCCATAGATTCCGGATCTTTCTAATAATGAAATTGCAACTTCTATCGTTTTTATGTTATCTAATAACAAAATCATAACTTTCTTTTTTTTTATACTACTAATAGTTTTTTCCTAATAAAAATTTATACAACTTTTATATGATTTTATTGTAAAATATTACATGTTACTTTGTTATTATTAATTAATATCAGTAATTTTTTAAATAGAATTTATTATTATGAAATATTAGAATAATAAAATTTAATAATATTTCATATTAAATGATAGTTGTTTCTAATAAGAATTATTTTAATCAGTGTAATTTATTTTAATTATTTATTAATATTAAATTATAAAGTGTTTGAATAAAAAAAATATTTACTGTCCATAATAATACAAATTAAAAGATTTTTGATACACTAGTATTTGTTATATATATATATATATATATATATATATATATATATATATATATATATATATTATTCCCTAGTCAAAGACAGTTTAAACAACATCAAAGGATTTTTTATTTGGATTCTAAAAATTTCTAGTAAACAATTTCAAAAGAATAATATTTCCATTTTGATTGATTTTGATTCTACGTAGGAAAACAAGATTGGAGTGAGTGTTTTAAAGGTGTTATGTTTGGGATTTCAGATAATGTATGAGAAAATGAAAATGAGAGTAGGAAATGTGTTGGAGAAAGGTAAGGTTGGAGATGAGTTCGTCAATGGAGAAGAAGAGCGTACGGCTTTCAATAAATGGACCAAATCCTTTACTCGTAAACAACATCCTGCTGTGATTCAGGTACTATTTTACTTGTATTAAAATCTTTTGTTTTAATCTAAGACTTTGCTATTCATATCTTTTAAATATGTAAAAATAGAATGGAATGAGGGTAACAGATTATGAAGAAGGAGGTAGTATTTATTATGTTTTTATCTTTTTGACATAATTAGAATAGAATTTCATGTGGAGGGCAGGTTTTGTTGGAGAGCGGTAAAAACAAAGACATGATTGGAGAGTCATTGCCAAATCTCATATACGTTTCAAGGGAAAAGAGTGTAACTTCTCACCACCATTTCAAGGCCGGTGCCCTCAATGCTTTGGTAAACTATAAATTCCTTTCTTACTTACTCTTAATATATAACATTTTTAGCTCTCCCCTAATTAATTTATGTCTATGGTTTTTTTCATGCAATAGCTTCGCGTATCAGCTATAATGAGCAACGCGCCAATTATTGTGACTTTGGATTGTGACATGTATTCCAATGACCCACAAACACCAAGTCGGGCCTTGTGTTACTTCTTGGACTCGAAACTTATGAGCAATTTGGGCTATGTTCAGTTCCCTCAACGCTTTCACGGAGTTAACAAAAATGACATCTATGGTTGCGAGTTGAAGCGATTGTTTATAAACTATCCAATTGGTATGGACGGGCTATTAGGCCCATGCTACGTCGGCACAGGGTGTTTTTTTGTTCGGCGGGCTTTCTTTGGAGGCCCATCATCACCCAAGTCACCTGAACTCCCCGAACTCAGCCCAAATCTTGTGGTGGAAAAGAAAATTCAGTCCGAAGAAGTTCTGGATTTGGCCCATTTGGTTGCAGGTTGTGGTTACGAGAACGAGACCAAGTGGGGTTATGAGGTATGATTTCTATAACTACACATATTATGAATCGCGTTCGATTATATATTTTTAATTTAASAAAATTCTTATTTTGGCATCACTCATACAAGAACAAATAAATATAGTTTCTTAAATTTGAATTGTGCAGTTGGGGTTTAGATATGGGTCTCTAGTGGAGGACCATTTCACAGGGTATCGCTTGCAATCCGAGGGATGGAATAGTGTATTCTGCAATCCAAACAGAGCGGCATTCTATGGCCAAGCCCTAATTAGCCTCCTGGACACGCTGAATCAAGCCAAAAGATGGGCCATTGGGCTGCTCGAAATCATTTTCTCCAAGTACAACCCGATCACATTCGGAGTCAGGTCCATGGGCCTTCTAATGGGCCTTTCTTACGCCAATAATGCATTCTGGCCCAGTTGGTCCATTCCGGTCACCGTTTATGCCTTCCTCCCCCCCTTGGCTCTAATCAACGGCATCTCCATCTTCCCCAAGGTAAAATTTGGAGTTTCAAAATCAAAGTTTTGAATTTATATTTAAATATTATTTTGCTCCCTATATTTCTCTTACTTTGATTCAATTTAGTTATTTTTAAAACTTTCATTTTGGTTCGTATGCTTTCAAATTTTATTCATTATACTTTCAAAACATCTCATTTTTATTTTTACACCATATTAAAATGGAGATTCGAACTTTCAACCTCAAATTAAATACACAAGTCTTGACCTATTGAACTATATTTATGCTCTGGTTGGCACATTTCAAAAAAGTTAATAAGTTAAGTATAATGTTAAAATTATAATTTAAAGAAATTAGATGAGAATACTAATGATGTTGTGAACTATCATGGGTGGCTCATCGGACGAGAGTAAAGTGAGATGGAACGTGTTCAAACAAGAAAAAAATTGGCCCCTTAAAATTAAGGAAAAACTTTCTCCCTAATATTGTTGCATGTTTCACAATTCATTATTTTTTATAACTTTTTTATTTGTCAAGTATTTAATTAACTTAATTTTAAGGTATTTTTCATAAACTTTTTAAGTATTAATTCTTATGCGTTTGTGGTTGTAATTAATGTGTTTTTGGGGTGTAAATTTGTATTGTTAGGTTTGGAGTCGATGGTTTGTATTATACGCGTTCCTGGTGGTGGGAGGGTACGGGCAAGATCTTGTGGAATTTATGGTCGTCGGAGGAACATTCCGGCGGTGGTGGAACGACCAGAGAATGTGGAACATAAGAGCGCTGTCAAGCTACTGGTTTGGATTCATGGAGTTCTTGGCGAATTCTGTGGGGATTTCGGCGATGGGTTTCGACGTCACCAGCAAACTAATGGACTCGGAGCAGAGCAAGAGATACGAGAAGGGGTTGTTCGAATTCGGACTGCCGTCGCCGATGTTCCTCCCATTGGCCACGGCGGCCGCCCTCAACTTGGCTGCCTTCGCCGCCGGATTCATTGGGATTTGGAAAGGCGGCGGCGGCGCGTGGGGACAAGTTCTGGTGGGGGAGATGTTGGTGGCTGGATTTGCGGTGGCCAATTGCTGGCCCATTTATGAGGCCATGGCCTTTAGGGCCGACGCTGGGAAATTGCCACCCAAAATTACCTTCTTGTCCCTCTTACTCGCTTTCCTTCTCTGCTCCTTTTTTGCTGCCTTTTTCCATCCATCAATGTTTTAATCAGCCTGCCCTTTCAATCTTTCTTCTTCTTAAATTTTACAAACAATGTAACTTTTTAAAAAAATTACAAAAATAGAGTAGACGTCAAAGTAATAATAAAAAAAAAATTCTAAGACTAAGGTATATATACAAATTATTGATAAAAACAAATTAGTTTATCACATACGATGCGCGTAATGGCASATATAAGATTTTATGTCGAGGGCACAAATGTATGTAAACATAGAAAAATATCAATTTTAAACTTGAACTTGGTAATGTGTATCGATTTGCATCTTATATTATAAATTTTACCCTTCAATTTTCATTTAAAAATTTGTTGAAAAATTATTCTCGTGCGTCAAAGGTAAAAAACAATTTTGATATGATTTAGAAAAAAACAACATTAGAGTTAGTTTTTTTAACTTAAATTTTGTAGTTTTTGTAGGATTATTTAATAGTAGATTTGTCGAGAAGTAAAAATATATATATATATATATATAATATTAGATTTGTGTATTAATGAAACATAAACGTCATTTTTATTAAATTAGTGAATTTTTGTGAATTTTTTTTATTGAATGGAGGGATAAAAATTATAACATATATAAGTTTAGTATTATGAATTTTTAATTTATTAAAAAATAATTAATTAGAAAATTTATTTATTTTTTTAATAAAAAACATTAAAAACAATATTTAAAAATTAGAATAGGACCGAGATTCAATCCCATTACAATAAAAATATATTTTAAAAAATAGATGTGCTAAAGAAAAAGAAAAACAGAAAAAAATAATAAAGATGTGCTAAAAATGAAAAATAAAAACATTTAAAAAGAAAAATAAAAGGAAAATAAAAACAATGCCCGACGATTTTCAGGTGAACCATCCAATTCTGAAAGCTTTCTTTTCAGGAGAGGAAAAAATGAAAAAAAAAAAAAGTCTTCCACCAAAAAGGAAATTTGAAGCAAAAAACTAAAATAAAAAAAAACTCAAAAAGAGAGAAATATAACACCAAATGAAGGAAAAAACAATCAACTAGAAAGCGAAGATATAAAATAGTTCAATCCTACTTTCTCGAACTCTTACTTCTTCACTCCCTCCTTTTTACCCGTCAGAATCCTACTTCTTCACTTCTTCCTCCTTTTTACTGGTCAGAATATTAATAAGGAAGATTTAGATGAAAATGATTGTTGTGTTGTGTAAAAACTACTGTCTTAGAAATAATTCGACACGAATCTAGTTCTAAATCATATGTATGTCGTTGCTCCTCAAATTAATATGACACCCAAATTGAACAACACTCGTTAGAGTAGATTGGAATCGAAGAACTAGCTTAGAATTTTGTAAATAACTAATAAATAAAAGGCAACAGAAACGTGTGGAAAAATCTTTTATAATTGAATATCTCTTTCTTAACCACGTGAGCTATGTTCGATTTAACGATGTAGTTGGATTACAACTTTTCAAGAAAATAATACCATATCTTCATATGTCATATCTAAAGAAATTATTGTCATATCAACATTGTCATTATTATTTTTCTAAAAAATTTTGTCATATCAAAAATTTATACACCAAGTCCATTAGAAATTTTTTCTTTGAGTCAGAAATAAATATTATAACTCGGAAATATATATCAATTATCGTTGAACTATGTTCGATTTGACATCACTAATTCTTTTTGTATATATCTTCCATGAAAGAAATTATTTTCATAGTTGTCACCTACTTATTAATTAATAATGATGTTTGACAAAATCTTATTTTCGACTTTTTGTAAAATTTCAATCCACATACCTCATTTCATTTTTCAATTTCAAGAAATAGGGACAGGTTTTTAGGATGTCCCACAAAAATAAATACCCCATATAACTCTTTTTCCTTTTATTGTATAATTAAAAATGACTAAATACATTTTTAAAACCTACATTTTGAAGTTAAAACAAAGAGAAAATTAATTTCTAAATTATTTATTATTTTTAATCATTTTTTCTCTCAAAAAGAAAAAGTCCTGTTTTCCATCATCAATTAAATTACGGAATTTATTATCCTTTATTTGGGGTAGATATCCTTAAAAGAACTCTATTTTAATTTTTTTTAGTTCAATAACATGTGGGTCGTAGATTCAAACTTTCTATATTTATTTTGATCGATAATATATATCTTAACTAATTAATTTAATTCAAAATCCACACATCAGTATTTTTCAGGATTCGGAGACATAATTATTACCATTCAAAAAAAGTCTCTTTCATACAAGTTACAAAGGTCACCATTACACTAAAAAAAAGAAATAAAGGGTCACTATCGATCAAAATATAGCCACCAATAGTTGCCACAAAACAACAAAAGTAACTTATTATTATTATTATTATTATTTTCTTTTTGAGTTTTAATAGCGACTTTAAAAACTTGAATCTTTCATCTTTGAGAAGAGTTCGGTAATATTTTAATAAGCTGAATTACATTTTAAGGCTGATCTAAAAATAACTATTATTATTTTAACACAATAAATATGGAGATGAAAAAAAGTAGTTATTAATTTCTATAATAATGGTTACATCAACAAGATATTTTTAAATAATAATTGGTACGCGATGGAAAACAAACATGACTTGGTTGACCAATAAGAACACTTGATCCTAGGTTGAGGTACGATGTCTCAGACTCATTTTTCGAATAGAAATACGTTAGCATTAATTTATAGTTCAGCCACGAAATACCTCGATATTAATTTATAGTTTGGCCATCTTCTTATCCGTATCGAGCTAAATAACACATCACTAGCTACCTGTAACTGCTGGCCAACTAAATCCTGTATACTGCATTAGAATCACATAATGGTTGAAAGGGACTGATAGGTGGGACCTATACTATGCACCTAACCCAATTTATATGCAGGTATGAAATTCTGATTAGTTCATTTTTCAAGAGAGATCACACTACTACTAGAACATTGGAGTATCTACTCTCTTTTGTGCATGTCTTTCCTCACATATATCGCTCTTTTATAGACTTGCTCGTCGAGTCAAGAGGTCAGAATCCAACATAAAAAAAAACAATAAAACCTACCGTCCATAATTGAGCAAAAGCTTAACAAAAATAAATTATATGAAATACTAAAAGTTACCATATACAAAAATTTGCTGACTTAAAATTAATTAAAATTTAAACAAACCTCATTATCACGTATACAAGCCCCATCCAAAATAATATATATTATGTATTTTTTTTAAAACAATATATATTTTATGTACTTAACCGGGCATTGAAATGAACAATATAGGATGCAATTTTTATTTTTTTTATTTACATAAACAAACACATGAGATGGGAGATCGAACCTTTCAATTTATGAGAGGTAATATATACCTTATCTATTAAGTTAGGCTCAGATTCACATGTATAATAAACCTATCAATGATAATTTTATGGATAGAATGATAAAATTGTATATGAAAAATATACTAAAATTTTATCATTGAAAAAATAATAAAATAAATATACATATAAAAGATGGCATTTATAGTAGAAGATGGCATTTATAGTATATTGTTTATTTAAGTAAAAAAAAAAAAGAAAAATATATATAGACACATACATTATACTACATTAGAAAAAATAGGTCTGATGAAAGTGACCTTAGTAAAAAAAATGACTACAAAATTGGGTTAAAAGTCTTATAATAAATGGTAGAATAGTGACAAAAGTGGTAAAAAAGAGAGAAGGAAATTCCAAACTCCATTTTAAATTTATCCCAATAATACATCAAACAATCCAATAAATATGAAAATTCATTGCAAATGTTAAATAATGATAAATTAATCATGAAGGGCAAAACTGGTAGAAAAGTAGCATACATCAAGGTTTTAAATTTCTTCTGCTTATATTTACAATTTTATAGAAAATGTCTCTATTGACTCTCTTACATTTTCTTGGAGATAAGACTGCGACTATTTTATATTGTTGTTATTATTATTATTAAATAATATTTAATAGCAATATCAAGATATTATGTTCTATTTAATTGCAAAATTTTTTTAAAATTTAAAATTAAATTATAAATTTATTCATTTTTTATATATAAAATTAAATATCCAATTAAGCCTACCTAGATGTTTTGGTGACGTATTTACTTAGTACCTTCCTAATACCTATTCTAAGTTTTCTCTCGTAAATAACTTTTTAATGTTAGTAGACAATAATATTCATATGAATGACTATAATTATACTACTATACTATGGAAATTTTGTCCAATTTTGTTACCCTAACAAATAATTATTTTGTCCAATATGATTTTGATAAGAAATAAAAAAGTGATTTTAGCGGGGAACCAATAAAGTTAGACAATAAAGAAAAATTAAAAGTACGCCACATGTATAAAATTATACTCAGTAATTCTCATATTAAAATTCTTAATTTTATTTTTAATGTAGTGAAATTTCTCAATTAAGTCATTTAAGAAAAATTGAGTGTCTCATTAAAATTATTGCTTTATTAACTTGAAATGTATAGTTTAGATTCACGTACCAAAATTTAATGATCAACAATATTTAGTGTTTACTGGCCACTATTAAAAGTTTGATAGCTTTTTAAATTTTTATAAAAGAGAAAAAATATATCTTTTTATACATTTCTATCCACATGTTGAAATATGTTAATAAAACAATAGGTTAAAAATCGATCAATTTTGTGGTAATAAAATTTGTTTGACTACCCAGAATTGTTGATACATTAGAAGTAAATTTGAGAATTTTAAAAGATTATTAATTATAATTAGGAAAATACTTAACCCCTTTAACTTCAAAGCCTTAAAACCTCCTAAAATAATCATCGTCGCCTGAGAGATTTGAACTCTCGCGGGGAAACCCCATGTACTTAGCAGGCACACGCCTTAACCACTCGGCCAAAGCGACAAATTGTTGATAATTATATAAAATAACAAAACTAGTGAAATTGTTTGATGATCGAATCTTATCCTCGCCCCCTTAAAAAATTGACAATTTATTTTAGGTCTGTTTTAGCATTTTTATTTCTTCGTTGCAAAGTAGTGGTGACGATAAAATTAGTTCCGAGTAAAACATTTTTCAATTAATTATGAGTTGGGACCTCACTAATGTACTTAAGAATTTAAGAAAAATGGAGAATTTTGTCAATAAATTCCCTATAAAGTTGGGGACCTCACAACTGTACTTTATCATCTGAATCTGCAGGCTGAGCGAAGCGCAGGAGAAGCAAAATCATGGACGAAGACAGAGCACGCGCCGCCGCCAGAGCTTTGCCACTACTAAACTCTCAGCACATCTCTCGACGCGCCACCGCCTTCAACCGACTCTTCGCGGCGGTTTACGGCGGCGGCATTTTGGCTCTGTTTTATTACCACTTAGCTTCACTTCTCAAACCCGCCTCTACGGCTGCCTTTTTAGTCTCTCTCTCTCTCTTCATCTCCGACGTCGTTTTGGCCTTCTTGTGGGCCACCACTCAAGCCAACCGGATGAACCCGCTCCGCCGCCGGGAGTTTCCCGGAAATCTCAACCGGTTCCTCCAGATTACGGATTCCGATCTCCCGGCGGTGGATGTGTTCATCTGCACGGCGGATCCGTACAAGGAGCCGCCGATGAGCGTCGTCAACACGGCGTTGTCGGTCATGGCCTACGACTACCCCGCCGGGAAGCTCTCCGTCTACGTGTCCGACGACGGCGGCTCCGCCGTGACGCTGTTCGCTTTCGTGGAGGCGGCCAGGTTCGCCGGAGAGTGGTTGCCGTTTTGCAGGAAAAACGACGTCGTAGAGAGGAATCCTGAAGCCTTCTTTGCTTCGGATCGGGATTGGAACTCGGAGACTGAGAAAATAAAGGTATTATTATTTTGAAAATTGAAATTAAATTATCTAAAATGTAACCTAATTTGCAAAGAAAACTTGAATTGTTTATTGAATTAACAAAAGGTTACACATATAGCAATGGGTTGACTATGACCTATAAGGAAACCCCATTGATATAGTCTGGAGTAAATAGAATGTAATCTGTTACAAAAGGGAATGATTATATCAATAAATACAAATTGATTGCATAAATATACAGCTACACAAATCTCCAACAATCACTCTTTATCATTATCAATTTTATTTATTAATTAATTTATTCAGCCTGTAGAAATCGACAAAATTATGAACTTGGGAAAAGTAATTGGAGTGGCAGACGAAGCATTGTTCATGTTGGAGGAAAGGACCATTTTTTTTTTCCATAAAAAAACAACAAATTGATATGATAGAGACACCCACTACTTATTCATTCGAGGAGATTGAAATAAATTGACCCACAATTTCGTCTTTAAATATTATTTTTACAGAAAGTTTTTTAATATTTTCAAATTTTTAATTCAAATTTTAAAAACTTTTAAATAGTAATCTTCAAAAACTTATTTACCATTTTTAAAGAAGATGAAGTTACTAATGAAAATAGAAAAAACATGCTTAATCTTAACCATCTTTAGTAAGATAATTAATGTATTTAATGATTTAAAAGGGAGGGTATTTTTCTAAAACTTGTGAGATTAAGTTTTCTTTATTTGTTTTGCAGGTTTAAAAAATTATAATTTAGTTTTCTATGTTAGTAAAAAGTAAGTTTTATTTTTATGCCTAAACTTTTAAAATTTTTATTGCTCAAATGTAGGTCATGTGAGTTTTCAAATGTAGGCTAAAATATGCTCAAGAAACTAAAATGATTATTTTATTAAAATTTTGGGACTAAAATATAAATACGAAGATTTAGTAACCATCAACTTAGAATGTACCTGACTTACTAACTTTCCTTTTTATTTCAAAACTTAAAAATACTTTCATAATTTTACCAAATGTCAAGAGCTGACAAAATGAATAGTTTCCCAATACCTGTTTTTTAAAAGTTGTTACACAGAATAATATAAATAGTTATTAAATGAACTTAAAATATTTATATTTAGGATTAGGCTAAAAATGAGCATTTAACTCAACCACTAAAGTGTATTGCTCATCTTTTAGAGGTCGGAAGTTCAATCTTCTGTCTTCACGTCTGTTGTATTAAGAAAACTTAAAATATTTAAAATTTGTTGATTTTAATTTCAGGTAATGTACGAGAAAATGAAAATGAGAGTAGAAAATGTTTTGGAGAAAGGAAAGGTTGGAGATGAGTTCGTCAATGGAGAAGAAGAGAGTATGRCTTTTGATAAATGGACCAAATCATTTACTCGTCAACAACATCCTACTATCATTCAGGTACCAACTCACTCCAATTTAGATGTTCTTGTTTTAGTCAGAGAAATTTTTGAGTGGAAAGAATTTTAAAAGATTTAAGGATAGAATTAAAAATTATTGTTTTTCATTCCCAAAAAAATAAAATTATTTAAAAAATCATATGATAAAAATAAAATATAAAATAGGATTATTTGATGAAAAATTTGTGGAGGCAGGTTTTATTGGACAGTAGTAAAAACAAGGACATTGTCGGAGAGCCGCTTCCAAATCTCATCTATGTTTCCAGAGAAAAGAGCGTAACCTCTCGCCACCATTTCAAGGCGGGTGCTCTTAATGCTCTGGTAAAGTCTAAACCTCTTCTCATTTTTATAGCGGTTAGATGTATGTGAGAACTATTTTTTCTCGGTCTCTCTAATCTTATTTATCATTTTTCAATGCAATAGCTTCGAGTATCAGCTGTAATGACCAATGCACCAATTTTTCTCACTTTGGATTGCGACACATATTCCAATGACCCACAAACATTGAATCGAGTCTTATGTTACTTCTTGGACCCACAACTTGCCAGCAATATCGGTTATGTTCAATTCCCTCAATGCTTTCATGGAATTAGCAAAAACGACATCTATGGTAGCGAGTATTTGCGGTTGTTTATATTCAATCCAATTGGAATGGATGGGCTGTTCGGGCCAGGTTATCTTGGCACGGGCTGTTTTTTCGTCCGACGGGCATTCCACGGAGGCCCATCGTCACTCGAGTTACCTGAACTCCCCGAACTCAACCCAAACAATGTCGTGGAAAGGCCCATTCGATCTCGAGAAGTCTTGGATTTGGCACATTTGGTTGCGGGTTGTGACTACGAGAATAACACCAAATGGGGTTCCAAGGTATGTGATTGTCATTCGTTGAAAATTCAAATAATTAAACGTTATTTTCTTGTCTAAAAATTGGAATGTATTATGATTTTGCAGTTGGGTTTTAGATATGGGTCTCTAGTGGAGGACTATTTCACAGCATATGTTTTGAAATCCGAGGGGTGGAAGAGCGTATTCTGCAATCCAAACAAGCCGGCTTTCTACGGCGACGCGCCGATCTGCCTCCTGGACGCGGTGAACCAAGTCAAAAGATGGGCCATTGGGCTTCTCGAAGTCACTTTCTCAAAGTACAGCCCAATTACATTCGGAGTCAGGTCCATGGGCTTTCTAATGGGCCTCTCTTACTGCCATAACGCGTTCTGGGCCTTCCTGTCCTTTCCGGTCACCGTTTACGCCTTCCTCCCACAGTTGGCTCTCATCAACGGCGTCTCCATCTTCCCAAAGGTAAAATTACACTAATTTCATGACCACGTTTCTTAAAAACATATTTCACCTCTTAATTAAATTTAAAAAATAAAAATAAAAATTTTAAAACTATATATATATATATATATATTTTAAAAATTTTAAAAAAGTTGATTCCGTGGTAAATAAATGTAGAGATGAAAGTTGTAAAAATACATGGTTATCAAATGAAGTAAAAGAGAAAAAAAAAAGAGAAATATACGGTGTTTATTTGTCAATACCCATCTTTTATTTACCACCCTTAAATGTTTGACAAGTAAAAGAGAAAAAAAAAAAATATATATATATATAAAGATTTTCTTTCTCATAGCAAGAACCTGAGTAAAGTAAGAGATCCTGCCTTGAGATAGTGTCTCTTTTTAACTTACCAATCTTGGGTCCGATCTCATTTTCTAGATGAGGTACTCATATTTTGAACTTAGATAACATGTTAGTATTCCTAGAATTCCATTTCAAAATCCATTAACAATTAGATAAATAACCCTATAATATAAAGTTAGGTCGAGCCTTTTATTTTATCTAGGATAAGAAAAGTGTTTCAAGAGACTTAACTAAAGGCAACTAGACCATAATCTTAGAAGCTAAACTCAAATTTATAAAAGATTTAACCAAGATCTTACCTAGCGTGGAAACTTTGTGTTGGGCATTTCGTCGAACACTTGATGTGCTCATCAATCATTTGCAGGCTTCGGATCCCTGGTTTGCATTGTACGCGTTCCTGTTCCTGGGAGCCTACGGGCAAGACCTTCTGGAATTCCTGCAAGAAGGAAGCACATTCGGGAAGTGGTGGAACGACCAGAGAATATGGAGCATAAGAGCGCTGTCCAGCTACTTGTTCGCATCTATGGAGTTCGCGTTGAAGTCCCTCGGCATTTCTGCGCTGGGTTTCAACGTCACCAGCAAAGTAGTCGATCCAGACCAGAGCAAGAGATACGAGCAGGAGATGTTCGAGTTCGGAACCTCCTCGCCGATGCTCGTGCCGATAGCCACGGCGGCCACCGTCAACTTGGCGGGATTCGCCGCCGGATTGATCGGGATTTTGAGAGGCGGCGGCGGCGCGTGGGGAGAAGTTCTGGTGGGGGAGATGTTGGTGGCTGGATTTGCGGTGGCGAATTGCTGGCCGGTTTATGAGGCCATGGCGTTTAGGAGCGACGCAGGGAAAATGCCGCCCAAAATCACCTTCTTGGCCCTCCTCCTCTGTTTGCTTCTCTCTTCTTTTGCTGCTTTTCATTATTCACAAATGATTTAGATAGTTAATTGCTGGTCGCTCTTTTTCTTGTTAAAGTATTATTTTGCTCCATTGTAATTTCAAAATGTTCTACATTCGAAAATAGTTGTTTTTTATACTACACTCCGTATATTTCTTGATATATGATTATTTTCAAGAGTTTCTGTTTATATGTAAGATTTGTACTAAAATATTTGTAAAAAGAATTAAAATGAATATTTTAAAAGCAAAAGAAGTAAAATGAATTAAATTTAAAATACAATGATTAAAATGAACCAAATCGATAAAACTTGCCTTTTAACCTTTTTTTAGTGGAAAAAACTTTATTATTGTTGTTATTATTATTTATTAAATGAATTTTTATGTCTAACATGTTCTACAAAAGTATCTAATAGGTATTTAAATTTTTTATTTTATATTTGATAGATTATCGATCTATTAGACATTTTAAGTGTAATTTGTCATTGAAGATCCATTAGATTTTTAGAGTCTTAGAGATGTATTAGATTTAGAATTGAAAGTTCAAGAATGTATTAAATATTTTAAGGCCTAGAACATAACAATTTAAGGACTATAATTGTAATTTAACATTTTCCTTCTTCTCATGTATAAAATTCAGAAATTTCATTTGTGTGGAAGATATTGTTTATCTATAGTTTGGTTGCTGTCTTTGTATTGGGATGAATAGGATATTAAATATCTGTTGATACGTCAACATTTTCATTGAAATTTTTATGTATCTATAAATTCGACATCAACATAAAATGGTAAATTGACATTTACGTAGTATTACAAAAAAAAACGACAAAAATATCATTAATATAGACATAATATTAATATTAGTCCTTTTAAATTTATTTAGAAATGTGAAATTGCTTATTTGTTAATTTAAAGTCTTTTTTCTTTATTATTATTATATTTTAATTAAACACTCGTTCTTGGATAACATAATACTCATAGAATGAGAGAGAAATTTAGGGTCGCTGCTTTTAACACCCTTAGTTGGCACTATCCCACATCGGATAAATGTGAAAGATAATTTGCACATCAAATAGCATACAAGACATTACTATATTAGTTCTCATTATTGGATTCTAAGCCCTAATTTGGTATTATAGACTTTAGTATATTAATTATATTAAAGGTTTTTGATACCATGTCAGAAAGTCTACTAGTTAGCATTCTTTCTGATCTTTATGTATTTCATTCTCTCTACCAAAAATTTTAAATCTGAAACGAAAGTTAGAAAGTCAGGAAGCTTGATAGGACACAAAGTTATTAATAGGGTGCGGGAAAGGAGTGTAGGATTGGTATGTGTCACGCGCAGACTGCCCTAGCTCCCAATTCATTCGGAGAACGTCTTTGCTTCAATCCAGTCAACTTCCTTTCCTGCCGCCGAAGGAACCTGTACCTTTACCGCTGGTGCTACTTCAATGGATTATGGGTAAATGTTCTCTAGAGCCTCTAAAATAATAGGAAGGGATTCCGGATTCCCGAACTTTTTGGCTGAAGTCGACCKGCCACAGGCGCATCCGATGGATTCCGCGGATACTTTGCGCTTAAAGGCTTCTATCATTCTGGAGTCGTATTTGGATTCCCTTACTCGTGAGCGATACACCTGGTTAGACGTAACATAAAGTCTTGCTCAAAGGGTCAGCTCCGAGGATATAGTAACTCGAGATGAKCTCAGTATGCTGCTCGACCAATTGTATAATCCATGTAGTGAAAACGAATCACCAAGACCCGATTCGACGCGCCCCTAAGCTAGACGCTTCACTTACCTGACCTTAGAGAGAATAGAATGAGTCGCCCTAGCAGGACTTGAAGCTCTTGCCTTACCAACGAGCCGACGGCTGCACGACTACTACCAAAAAAATTCCTAAAAGGTATTATTTTAATAGATGAAATTTTACATTTCATTCTTTTAAAATTTTCAATTATTTTGTCTCTAAAATTAGATAAATTTTATAGTCTTCTAACAAAGTTATTACTCATCGTGACAATGTAAATAAAATATATTTTATTATTATTTTCAAATATTTTTAAAAAATTTTGTTTAAAATGTTAAAAAAAATCTGTAATTTTCTCTTTTACTCATTATTTAACATTTAATTCTAATTTTAACTATCTAATAAATATTTTATTATTTGAAATTTTTAATTACATGTTTGTTTTAATTTCATTTATTCTAATAAATACAGTAAATTTTAATTGTTTATCTGTAAATTTGTGTATCTAATTAAATGAAATTAACTTTTTTTTACTATTTGAATTTCTAATTACAGGAGAAATTTTAATCACATGTAAATTTAATTGAAGTTTTTTTTAATTGAAAAAGACAAATTTAACAAACTGTAATATACCTTTTTTTTTTAAGTACAAACTATAAAATACTTTATTTTAAAAGTAAGTATTAATACAATAATTGAAGATTATGTTTACTTATTAGATTGATTACTTTTTTTTAACGGTATTAGATTGAGTACTTAAACCTTGTCATTAGAGATTATTTTAAACATTAAATTCAAGAAAAAAAATGATTATTTTAAACAATAAAAAACATGCGGACTGCGGAATACAGACTGTACAGTGATGGGAGAAAATTTTCTCACCCTATTTTATTATTTTTATTTTTAATTGATCATGTATTTGTTTATTATTTATTATTTTTGTTTGCTTAAATTAAATAAACATCAAATCTTAAAAATCACTTTAAATTAGTGGAATGTTATATTTCTATTTTGTCCTTTACTTTAACATTGTTCCTATTTTATTTTATTTTCAATCAAAATATCATTTTTTAAGATAAAAATATTAGTTAATAAACTTAATTATACAATACATTTCATATATATTTTAAAATTTTTCAAATGACTTCATCTCCAATAAATTCATTCACAATTGTGATAGTTTTAATAAATTGTATTTAACTAGTCATATATAATTATTTATATATTTTTTAAAATGTGATATTGTGTACATTTATCCTAGAAAAACTGTCTTTTGATTTTTAATTTAATAGGGTGACTTGGCAGAAGAAACTTGTAATTCTATCTTTGCCCATATTTAATATTTAATTCCAATTTTAGTGATTTTCTCTCTCGACTATTTAAATTTTGGACACATATATGAATTTGAATTATTAAAAAAAAAGCTGACATTAATTTTTGAAATTTACAATATATTGATACCCTCTCAGATTGCTCATTTTATTGTTTTTATTTTTTTACTTCTGATTCTATAAAATTTCAATAAAAATATTATATAAATCACATTTATTTAAGTACAATTTAAAATGTTGAAAAACAGGTGCAACGTGTCACAATCGCACTTTAACGGGACTCACGAAGCGATTGTGCGGCACTTGCTTTCACCCTCTAGCAAGTCAGCCAATGCGGAAACGAATAGCCGGTGGCACAAAGACTATATGTCGCAACCTCCACCCCCGTTCTCGAGAAAACGGTTTTGGAAAACGAAGTTAGAGAAAAAAGAAAACGGAATTAGAGAAAAAGGTTCTGGAAAACGTTTGAAAGCATTTTAGAAAGTTGTTGTAAGCTTGAATGCAAGAGAATAGATTAGCGGCAAGACAATAATACAACGTAATGTAGGGAGGATGACTAGGTGTACCCCTAAGGTAGATTATAAAGCATTTTGCCTTTGGCAGGCGTGAACATGCAAAGTGGCGAGGAGTCACTCGCCACCCAAAGTAACAGGAAAACAAAACAACAAGTAAAACTAAATACATGACATAAAAGTATGTGGGAAGAGGTTGTTATGGGCATGCGGCCACATGCAACAGGCCCTAGACAAGCATGGCCACGACACCACGCAGGTAAATACTAACCAATATATCTAAATTTTTGTTAATAAGTTGCTTCCATGTTAGATTATTTTGCATGTTAATATTAATATTTATAATTGATTTTGATACCATGTAAGTATTTGTACGCAATATAATGGAAGACATGCTTGGGAGATTGACTAAATAGGTCATTCTTCAACTAAATTACATATTGAATCAATTTTTCAAATCTAAATAAAACTCCTAACTTCAAGCGAGAAAAAAAATATCATTGGACTGCTTATAATAGTTGCTTCATATTGCATTTAAATTGAAAAAATAATTGATAATTTAATATAAGACTTAACAAAAAAGTATGAATTAAAATCTATAAACATAGTATAAAATTTTAAAATTTTGGAAGTAAAAAGATTAAATTGATATAATGTGTCAATGTTAGTTCAGTCCAATAGTTCAGGCATCTTTATTCTTTTTATTGAAGTTAGAACTAGAGATTCAATCTCTTATTGATAGTTCTAAATATCCGTCGACACGTCGATATTTCCATCGACATATCCATATTTTCATGAGTTCGAAATCAACATGAAAGGCAAATAGTATAAGAAAATCGACAAAATATAAAAAATATCAACAAAATGTCAATAATATATACATAATATTAGTATTAATTATTTTTAACTAGTTTAGAAATAGGAAAATGTGTATTTGTTAATTTAAATATATTTTTCCGATTTTCTTATTTTTCTAACTTTTATAGAAATATCCATCGACATTGATATTTTATCGATATTTCCATCCACATTTGACATCGATATCAACATTTAAAAATTTTCTGTTATCCCGCGTTTCTCGTACTAAGAAAAGAAAAAGATGTAACTAAAAAGAAAGTTTCTTTCCTCGTGAGACGAGTTCGGTAATTACATTTACAGTACAACTTGTTGGGCCGGGTATGGATATCGGGTCGGAGACGGGGCCCAGTTTCGAGCCCTAGAGAAAAGTGGAATTCCTTCTTGAAGAGCAAGCAAAGGCAGCAACAAATAGTGACCAATTTCCATTCCCGTACCAATTTCAGCAGAGATTCAGAGGAAGAAGTTGAAGGAGACGAAGATCGCCATGGATCCCAAGCTAACTGAGGTCTCGCAGCTCTTCGAGCGCTTCAAAGCTGCTCTTGTCAGGCATGATTATGATTCTTGTAACGATCTCCTCTCTCAGCTGAAGGTATCGATTTGATTTCAGAACCCTAATGTTTCTCCCAGTTTCTACTCCGTCGTTGGTTTTTCAGCGTGCTTTCTTCCTTCGTTTTCTCTTTGTAGGTTTTGTTGACTGGATTCAAAAGTCTTCCTCCGTTGTTTGAAGATACGCCCATTGCTGTCCATGAATTGACAGTAGCCAGTAAGAATTTCACGCCATAGTCTCTGGCTTAGTTTTGTAGCTATTTTGCTCTGGCCTACGTCTTTTATCCGCTAATTACTATATGTTTTCGATTCTTCAACTGGCTCAATGTGCTAGGATTGAACTTCGTACACATACAACTAACTTTGAATTTTCTGTGGCTTGGATCTTGAAATACTCAATTGTGGAGAAAATTATAATACAATCCATGTACCTTCATATTAACAGATAGAAATTTATATTCGTGTGGAACTTGGTAATTATTATTAACTTTCATGATTAGTGACTGTTGAACTACCACTCGAACTATGAGCTTAAAATATTAGATGAAGTTAAGTTTAATTCTTTTTTATCTATTGTCTACAATGATAAGATTATATTGGGGTTTTGTAACTATTTTCCCACCTTAGATGAAATTAAGTCTCATTCTTTCTTATCTATTATCTACAGCGATAAGATTATATTGGGGTTTTGTAACTTTTTTCCCACCTTAGATGACTGATGTCATAGATTGATTAACTATCTAATAGGAGTTGGTTAAACTCAGAAACTACATCACTTGGACATGAATAAGGAATTTACTTTCTGGATCACTGAATATTCTGTTGCAGAACTTTCTGTCCAAAAGAGTTTGTTATCTGTGTGGAACTTCGTTTTTTTTTTCCTTTTTCGTATAGTCATTTTCTAAATTTAAATCTTACACAATTTCTGTCTTTACTTGGGATCTTCAGGGGATATTTATGAGCATGCTGTGTTGCTTAGTGTGAAGGTTGAGGATCAAGATGCATTTGAAAGAGATTTCTTCCAGTTGAAGCCTTACTATACTGATGCTCGGTAGGTTGCTCTTTCTAAATGAAAGTGAAATTTGATTTCCTGTCTGAAATGATTAAGATGCGTTATTATCATGACACATTGCTTGTTTATTTCAGATGGGGTGAAAAATATAAAAATGTGTAATTTGACCTTTTCTTAGTTAGTGCCTTGGGTTTGGGTTTGTTTTTCTTCGTAACATTCTTGGAAAGTTATGTTAAATTCCAAGAGTTAGACTATTTATACTCTTTTGCAAAAGAAAAGAGCCTGTCATTGCTGTAGTAAGATAAAGAGGACAAAATTATAGATTTAACTGGAGTTCCATTAAACAATTTGATTCTTTTTTCATTTGAAGTGGAATTTCCTCGAAGACAAAAGCTACATATTGATATTATTGACGATTATATTTCTTTTAGTGGTGACTACTCTCTAGTTTACTTCAGTGTATTATATTCCTTCTTTCATGAAAATGAGTTAATTTAATTTAACTGAACTGTTCTGATGAGACGGTTGACTGACAATGAACTGCTACAGAGTAACAAATAAATTCTAACTAATTAGAAAAACGTCTGAGTTATCTTGAGGTTTAAAATTGAAGTATATGATTTGAGTGGTAGCCACCTTCCACTGGAATTACACACTGAGATTACTTGATGTAACCTTTAACCTTTTGGGTACAATTTTTTCTCATGAAATTTTGTTCTTTTGGAGCAGTAACCGACTTCCACCATCCCCTCAGGAGTATCCAATCTTGGGTCTCAACCTTTTGAGGCTTCTCGTGCAGAATAGAATTGCTGAATTCCATACTGAACTTGAACTTCTTTCCACCTCTGCTTTGGAGAACCCATGCATTAAACACGCCGTGGAACTGGAGCAATCTTTCATGGAAGGGGCTTACAACCGTGTGTTGAGTGCTCGACAGACTGTGCCACATGAAACTTTTGTTTATTTCATGGACCTCCTGGCAAAGACTGTAAGGTAACTCATCTAAATAAATATCTCTAGCCAATATAATGATAATGAGAAACCACCTCCTGCGAAGTGTTTGCCAAATTTTCTCCTCTCTCTCTCTCTCTCTCTATCTCCTCTCATTCCTAGTTTCATTCATAGTCTGTCTTTTCTGCCACTTCCAGAGATGAAATAGCCGGTTGCAGTGAGAAGGCGTATGATTATCTTTCTATAAGTGATGCACGCCAAATGCTGTTATTTTCCTCTGACCAAGAACTTTTGGGATATGTCAAGGAGGTAAGTTCTGTTGGGTGCATTTAATCATAAATTAATCTACATAATCGCTAATAATTTTTAGGTTAGATGAGAGTTTTATTTTTAATGAATTTCCAAACACTTCTACCTTGATTTGGGGTATGTACTCCTTTGGACTAACCTCCGGTTTGAAGGCTAGGAGTACTTTCATAAGAGAGAGTTTGCACCCATTATTCCAGATCTTATTCTTACCATGTTTACATGATGCACCCGTTGATGATAATCTGTTGTTGCAATGCAGGAGCATCCCGAGTGGGAGATAAAGAACGGTGTTGTATATTTCCAGATGGCGAAAGAATCCGCACCTTGCAAGGAAATACCTTCTCTTCAACTCATCAACCAAACCCTGAGTTATGCAAGAGAGTTGGAGCGGATTGTATGAACCAAGCTAGCAGCTTCTCATGATTTCTCTCTGCTTATTTACAACTTGCCCAGGTCGATGCTTATTCCTCCCCCACCTTTTATGTGATCTTTATGGGATTTTTGCATACGAAATTATTACTTTTAGTGACTTCGAGTCAGATTTTCGTCAATTTATTGGTACTTCTATAATCATGAGAATATTGTTGTTGCATCTGTCTTCTCTCTGTGTCTGTTTACCTGGCTCTGGACTGTAAGATTCAAGTGGCAAGGAAGTCATTACTGCTTGATTATACTCCTATGGGGGTGGGTTCTTATTTAAAATGTCATAGGCAGTGATTTTAGGAGTGCAGCTCATCGAGTCACGCTCTTTAGAACCTTAAACATCGTGTTTTAGAGACCCCGGACCTCACTATTTGGCTCATAGGTTGGATTTATGTAGTTTGAGAAAAATTAAGTTAAGCTTTAATTTCACCCACATCTTAAACTACACACTTGTGCATAAACCTTCACCAAATCTCCCCTCTTTGCACTCTCTAGATCGACCGTAAGGAAGCTTCGAAACCTTTTGGGTGGATTTGCAGAGTCAATCATAGGAATTTTATCAAGGGATGAAAAAAATTAATTTTCAAATGTCAATACAGAGAAGAAAGGTACGTTAGAATTTTTGAAATGCAAATCGAGTAAATATTAAAGAAAAAGAGTCAATTGAAATGACGTTGCCTAAGTTTAATTAGTAAGACAGCATGTTAGTTTAACTCTTATCTTCTTTAATATAAAAAGAAAAGGAAACTTACAGGGTTGTTAATATATTAGAATTTTGATTCATTCACCCTCATTTTGATGGTTAAAGTATAATTTAGTCTTTTTTAGTCTCTAGATTTTAAATTGTTTTAGTTATGTTTATGAACTTTAAATGTGTGATGGGGATAGCGTTGTACGGTCATCTTTTGTAGTAGGTTATGTCTCTTTTTTTAATCCGTTTGTACATTTGTAATCATCTTAATGAAATCAAGTTTTCATTAGGAAAAAAAAAAAGAAGAAAACGTCATGATTTTAAAAGTATATACAGGCCAAAAAAAAGATTATAAAACAACCTGGTTTTTCTTTTTTAATCCAATGAATCTTAAAATTAAAAGAACTAAAGAAAAAACAGATAAGATTTGAAGGACCAAAATTATACATAACAATGATTTATTAGCAATTTAAAAGTTGATGATTCGACAACGACATCCCACCCACTATGCAATTGTTTAACCAAAAAAGGACCAAAATTTATAGAGATTATAGAATAGAGGTCCAATTTGTTAGGGGCTGGGGAACGGCGGTGGCAGCCGCGGCGGCGCGGGAAGTTTGGCGGTGGGGGCAGCCCCCATGACTCTGGAGTCTGAACTTCCCCTTCGCTGTCAAACCTCGAATCTTTCAAATACCCATTTTTTTGAGTTGTGGCTTACAACTTTCTATTTTTTTTTCTTTTAATTTTTTTTGGGAATTTGGATATTTTTTCCAAACTTTTATTATTTTTCTTTAAAAAAAATCTCAAATTGCTATGTATGGTCCCCATTTTCTCCCACTCTTCCAATCCATTTGAGTTTGATTCCCTCTTGAAAAATTATTCGTTGTTTTAACTTTTCTTATGTCGGTAACTCTCATTTCTAGGCTCGTTTAGTAGTATTTTTGTGTTTGAAAATTGTTTATTATTTTCAAGAAATGATACCACTTGTAATTTTCTTTTATCAGAAAAAAAATATTTGGGTTTGACTCATATTCCGGATTTTGTTTGTGTGAAAGACCGAACCTATGCTATGTATCGTAGGTTTGCTAATTGCAAATTATAAATTTGTTAAAGCATAGACAGGGTGACAGTAGAATGAGTGATTTTGAAAAATAAAAATTTAAATATAATTGATTTTTTAAAATCACCTCCCAAATGATATGTTAAAAATCAATTGAAAGTGATTTTAAACTTTTCTAAAATCAAAATTTTAATTTGTCAAGCATGATCAATAGAAATAGAAAGGGGAGTGATTTTGACCATGACAAAATTGACCTTTTTTTAATATAAAAGAAAAAAAATTGCATAGCTCTCAACAACCCATAAATTTAAGAATGATAGAACAATGTTTTATTATATTTTGGAACAAAATGGAAACGAGAATATGAATTGCATGGTCCCAACATCCATGAATTCAAGTATTCACGAACTCACAACCTATTGATTGGAAGTTATGTCAATTACTGCTGAACTATGCTCGCTTTGGCTATTTTTCTTTTTTTCTTAAATCTATTAGGTTGCTTTGTAACATAAGCTTTGGCCAAAAACCAACCGTTAATTATAAACCTAAACTTAATTAAAATTTATAAATTCCAACATAGGATAAATTCATATAATTGCATAAAGTAATTAACAAAGTAAACTTAAAAGTTAAAACCAAAATATTTTTATCGAATTCTTAAATTCTAAACCATCACTTTTTAATATTGCCGACCTTAATTTTTCTTTTCTTTGTTCTTTGTTCTCTACTTTGCGCTGTCTTTAATTTTAATTTTTTTAATTTGTACTTTGAAATAGTCAATTAATTCACTAGTTAATGTTTTTTTTTTTGGAGTACTAGTTAATGTTGTATTTATCACCAACATCGAACCCACATCATCCTATTTGCTGGACCCAAACACTTGGAAAATGATGTTCGGTTGACAAAATTATACAAATCAATTTAAAAAAAAATAAAATAAAATATCGATTGATATTATAATATAAAACAACCAATTGTTGAGATGATAATATATAAAGATATTATGCTCTCCTCTCTCAAAATTTCTGTCTTTGAAAAAAACAATACATTTTTCAATGTTGACAGATAGCTAATAAAATAAATATATTGTATTTTTGGTTTCCATTGGAAATGGAGAACTCCTAAATGTTTGACCTATTGATATATGTCAACTATATAATTTTGTAAGCTTTCCAAGTTTGATTAATTTAATATGATAATTAGAAGTTGAATAGTAAGTAATGTTTGTAATTAGCAAGACGATCAAAGAAACAAGTTGGGATATTTCAAGAGATAGAATTGTACACGTCTTCAAATTGTCTAGTTGAATTGATTACAATAATTTATATCACGTTTATTAAAATTGTTTGACTTGAATCAAAAGAAAAAAAAAATAGCTCAATTGGTTAAAATGTCAGAAGTTTGAATTTTCACTCAAACAAATTATGATTTATTGTCCAAAAGAGCGAAGGTAAATTGAGAGAGAATGAGTTCAAATTTCATGATGACTACTAACTTCTAAATATTTAGGGCTGTAGGGTCAGACAACTAGCTCGTGAAATTAATGGAGGTGTGCCCAAAATGATCCAGATTA